ATCATACAAATCAATCATCCTAGACTGTCTGAATATCAAAATCATACTGTGAAATCTACCATTTAAAACGTTGATTGATTTGTATGATTCACTTTTTGAAGTACACATAACTCTCGGATTTAAATCCGAAGTTTCCGCATTTATTTTTTAGTTATGAAGGGTTTATGAGTATAGTAAAATTGATTCAATAATGAAGTAACTTGTTGTAAATGGGATGCTAATGGTGAAACGCTTGATGTAATTTCTTCATAAGCTTCTGTTTCTTGCATATATTCAAGGACCTTTCTTTGATAATCTTTGGCATCACCTAGATGAAATACTTTACTTTTATCAGTTCGTCTTAAGATAACTTGTTGATATTTGCGTAAATAACGGCGAATACTCATAATTAATTTATGTTCACGTTTTGCACGTACAGATAATTTTCGTGATAATTTTTTTGTGTAAAGATACTCAAGAAGATTTTTAAGATCAAGAGAAAATTCGTCGATGCGTTTTTGTGAGATGCTATAACCGTGTTTACTAAAGAATTTTTGAATTATATCAATAATATTTTTATGTTCTTTTTTAATCAATTCGTCTCTTTTTTCCTTCTTGTAAAATCGACTTTGACATGGTGATACATATTTTGGTCCACGAGAAAGTAATGCCAATTGTTCCGGTGTTAATTTTAGATGAACTTCAATAATAGGTGATGATGGTAGAATATCCCAATATAAATTAAGATGATAGCTCCGACGATACCATTTTTGTCGACGATCGTCGGAGCGATGGTAGAAAAAATGAAGACGTCGTTTTGTTGCATATTGCATATATTGTCGAATATGCTTTTGACGCTGTTCAATAGCATGAATAAGTTGTTCAGTACAATTTTGTCGGAGTAAATTTTGTTTCATTCGATTAATTAATTTGTTTTTTTCATTTTCAGCATATTCATGATAACCACGTGCAGATGCTTCAGTCATACTAATGTAAAGTGACATTAAGTCAGATTTATTTTGTGCAATAATTTTCTTATGACGGCTTGAAATAGTTGTTCGAATATTATCATTAAATATAGGTCTAGCTAATGTTTTTTCCACCTTTGACAATGATTGATCAAGGTACTGTAATGATTTAGATATACGTTTCATATAAAGTTGTTGTTTTAAAACATCGACATTTTCCTGTGATTTACATTCATTAATAGTTGCTTGCCAAATGATTTGTTTAGACATGATTTCATTTTGTGTTGGTTGACAATCATAGCATGCTCTTACTAAAGAATAATCTTGAGCACTATTTTTCAAACGTTTTTTTCTATGTTCATAATGTTGTGATAATTTCTTTTGACCTTTACGTACTAAAGCTAGAAGAACTGCCCATAAACGTTGTTCATCAATGTTTGAGTCTGGTTGTTGATAATTTGTTAATAATAAAGCATGGTGTTGTACTTCATCTTCAGCTTTAGCTTTGTTTTGTTTAATTTTTTCGGTATATTTTTGCATTGATCTTTTCGATATTTTATAATCGAATTCTAATTTATTATCTTTGATGATTGTTTTTGATAACGGTGATATCCAACAATGATATGTTTCACCATAACTGATGTAATTTTCCCATAGATCTTCTTCTAATTTTAAATAATATACTCGATCGACTAAACGAGTATGTTCACGAATATAGTGTAAATTTTCTTTAGATTTACACCATTGTAAAATATCTTTACCACCAACAAAAGCATTTTTTAACATTTGTTTAAATTTTTTATTGTTTGCATTTAAATAATAATGTAACGACTTCGTCTGTTTATTGACAGTAGATGCAGATATAGGTTCTTCAATTTCCTCATGTTCCTGTTGTTGCTGCTGCTGCTGCTTGTGTGGCTCTTGTGTCTTCGATGATGATAAAGATCTTTTTTCTTCTTTGTTGAATTTTCTTTCATGGATAATTGGCTAAACGATGTTGTAATAGATGTATCTTGATTCTGTCCATCTTGTTTTGTCGATTCATCTCGTTTACGGTTTTTCATTTTTCGTTGAGGATTATATGGACCTGGTAATATCTAACAAATAAACATAAACAAAATACGAGTTGTATCCGTACTACAACATGGACACATTTATGCTTACTTGTGTATCGTTCAGAGGAACTGTTACTTCCATATCTATGTTTTGTGATTCATCCTTTTGTCGTAAAAAAGCCGTACGTTTATACATTTGAATAGTTGCTTTATCGACACCTTGTCTTTGCAGTTTTCGCCAATAACGTTGTAATTTTCGGTTCCATTGTTGTTTTTTCTTTCGTTTTGATACTGCTCCTGTTGTTGTTAGCTCTTGGCCTGTAAGTACTTGTGTTGGTGATAACAAATTATACCATTGACCTTGTGCATCTTGACTTGGAGTCTTCATAGATTCTGTATTCATAGTGGTATTTATATTGATATTGTATATTTTTATCTAGAATAGAAAAAAAACTGTATCACTAAATGCCTAATTTCGGGAAAAAAGCACAAGAATATGTATGGCTGAATCTACAGTAGCAAGCAGTATATATGATTCAAAAACAAAAATAGAAAAGGAAAAACAAAACACAGAAGATGAGAATGAAATAATATTTCATTTTTTTAGAATTATTGTTGTTGAAGAAAAAAAAACGATAAAGTTTACTATGGTTTTGATTCATGGAACTTGATATCAGAGTCATTTAATTTGATACAGTCGAAAGCTTTCTGATGTTTTGGTTGTGTTGTTAATTTATGTGCTTGATTTCGTTCCAAATGTTCCAGCTGCTGTGTCGATGTATATGGTGGGTCGAATGCTTTTGCAAAATCCATGTCTTTCACCGGAGTATTTTCTGGTACATTTTCAATATAATTCTCTTCATATTCATCGACAGGTAGAAGTAATTTTATACATTCTTCTCGCCAATCTTTCTTCGTTTCTTGTTGTGTTTCTTCTTCACCTTCGAGTTTTTCAAGTTGTTTCCATAGTTCTGGTTCCAATTGGCGATAGAATTCCGGATCTTGTTCTAGTCCATTCAACCATGTAAATCTTTGATATTCTGGATTCTTCAAATCTTCATCTTCTGATTCACTCATATTATGATCGATGGAATCATGTAACGGTGCCTTTTGTAAAAAAGAAAAAGTTTTCTGATTGTAATAAGAAAGTTTGCTATTCATTTACTTGATTTTTTTTAGTTGACTTGTCTTTGACTGTGGTAGAGTTGTTTTTGTTGAAATCCATTATAATATATATTCGAATCTGAAACGAGATTGAAATTATTTACACGATATTCAAAAAATGAGAGCTAACTATGTACTACAACTTTATTATACAGAAACAAAAACAAAAACAAAAAATGTAAATAAAATAGATCACAATGCAAATTCACAACTATGTTCTAAGTTTGAATTGTACCACGAAACATTATCATAGGCGAATTCTAACCCAAAAAAAAGCAAGAGAATCTTCAAAGATATCAAAATACATGGTGATTATGACATACTTAGTCTTGGTTTTATTTACTGGATAAGATTAACATAGAAAGGGGTGGTCGTTTATCAAGTAAGTAATCATTGATGGCTAACGGAGTTTCTGGACGAGGTATTAAATCGAATTGAATATCACGAAATGCTTCTTTATTAGTGGTACTTTCTTCCACCATATTGAGAAGATCATCTTTGATTTTCAATGCCATTTCTTGAGTCCAACTATCTGGATATGGAACATGTATAATATTTGTTTTTTGCGTTTTTTCTTCTTTTTCTAATGCCATTCCTGCTTCATAAAGTTGCATAATGTGTTTACGAAGTGTTTCAAAAGGAATAGTATGAAAAGGATGAATGAGATCGGATTTAATACCAACATCTTTTTTTTTAAATTCTTCAATACATTGATCAATAAATTCTGATGAAAAACCACGAAATAAATGAGATAAACGAATATGTCGACGTTCAGCCTCAAAGTCTTTTTGATTTGTAGAACAATACAAAGCATGTTTAAGTGCTGCTTTTAGTAAATCGGATGGTTGATTGGTATGATATTCATATTGACTTGGTAGTTCGTATTCATCAGTCTTTGGATTACGGAAGATTTTGGTAACTAGATGACCTTTATCATTGTTTAATTCCAAGTCAAGTAAATGTATCGTTTTACCAATCATAGTTTTAATGGACGGAATTGTCGGATTTTCTTGCTGTTGATGGATTGTTCCATTGAATAAAGTCTGAAAGTCTTCTTTCGATCCATTCCATGTGAGAAAAATATCATCACGATATCTATACGAGTTCAAAAAATAAAATAAAATATGAATTCGTAAAAAATTTACCTATCACACTTACCTAGCAAATATTTCAGTTTTATTATTCAATATAGTATTTATAAGAGAAGTAGATTGACCATAGAGTAGGTATGTGAATGCTAATAGAATCGTTAATAGTGATCCAGAACTACTTCCATGAATTTGTTGATAGAGTTTCTTGTCATAGATAAAATATTGAGTTTCTAAAACCAGACGTACTAATTGAAGAATTGTTTTGTTTGATAAGTGTTTAGCTATTTCTTGTAGTTGAGGTCGATGTGTTTCAAGGAATTTTTCTAAAGCTTGTAATGCTTTATGATGAGAAAATTTCGTACAGACATCATGGAAATTAAATGTAACAAAATATGTAGTTTCTTGAAGATAATCAGCTTTAGCATATTGCTCCAACATATAAGCAACTTGATCCGAATTTGCTAATTTTTTACAGCCTGTAATTTCGTTCAACATAGACCAAAGTGTATTGCTAATAAAATGTGATATATTGAATATAGGTGCATTTTTGCAAACCATAATTGGTACAACCGGTTCTTTAGACTGTTTACAAGAAAAAACAAAAAACTTTTTTTTGTGTCGCTTCCAAAACGAACAAAAACAAATGAAACTTACTTCGTCAATATCGGGTACAAAGTATAAATAACTTAATCGAATAATTGACTTTTGTGGATGCATAAGTACAAATTGAGCATCAGTGATTGCTTTTGAACGAAGTAACTTTATCAATGTTGTATCCAATGTTTTGAAAATTGTTTTTAAACAACTTTGACTAACAGTTGGATTTTTTGGATTTACATCATTAATTAACTTGTAAATGTCTGCTTCTTTCATATAGTTAGAAGCTTTCTCTTGAAATTGTTTTGCCGGATATTTATGAAATGAATAACCTTTATATGATGCTAGCATAATTAAGTTTTCTTTTTGCATTTGACGTCGCATTGATAAAATCGTATTTTTATGTAATTCAGCCATCATACATTCAATAAATGTCATATTCGGTTGAGAATCCATTTTATGAATCAATTCTGTTATATCATTCCAATCGCAATCGCCGAGAAGACTAGGTACTTTATGATGATGAGATAAGTCGTTATTGAATGAAGCATCATTAGATACGTCTTGTCCTTGAAAAGGTGTATTAAATTTCAGGATTTGTTCGACCATTGGAAATGTATCAACTAAGTGAATTGATATGTATTATTAGATACTTAAAAAACAAGAGAATCTTCACATAATGACTGAAAGGTGAGGGAAGAAAGAAAAAAAATGAACAGACCTGATGTAAATCTTCGAGAGTATATGCAGTTGTTGTAATACGTAGAGATTGAAGTGAACGAGTCGATGTTGTTGCAGTTGTGTTAATCGAGAAAATGAAATGATTGCAAGAAAAACAGCGCTATTTATATGCCCAAGCCACGACAGATCACGGCGCATCACCACAGACCACAGCACACTACGACAGAGGACACCAACTTTTACCCGTCCGAATATCACGACAGATCACGTCATATAACGACAGACCACGTTATATTATGACAGAGGACGGCATACAACGACAGACCACGGCGTATAACGACAGACCACCTTATATTACGACAGGGGACGGCACATTTTAACGATCTGAATATCACGACCCACTACGACAGACTACAGCCTATAACAACAGACCACGGCCTGTAACGACAGACCACGGCCTATAAAGACAGACCACCTTATATTTCGACAGAGGACGGCACATTTTAACGATCTGAATATCACGACTGACCACGGCGTATAACGACAGATTCACGGCACCTCAAAACAGACCACGACATCTCACGACAGACCACGGCATATTACGACTAGAAGTGGGAAGTTACCGTTCCAAGATCGTTCCCAGGAACGGTAATGGTAACGGAAGAGTTACCAGTTCTCGGGAACGCGGGAAATGTCAGGAGAGTCTTTACCGTCATCAAACCAGTAGCCTCCATTCACAAACCCTAGTATTGGAGGGCACCCTTGTCTCTTGAAGTCCTATTATTGTGAAGGTCGCTACACTAGGATCCTCGTGTCTTATTATTCAGGGTACCCGTGGCCGATGAAGTGCTAGAATTAGGGAGTATCTTTTGGTTCTCATCGAGAACTTCAGGGTACCGCCAATACTTTAACTTAAGGAGCTCAGGGTGCCCCAGAATGGTAAGACTTGAGCGCCCAACTGTTTCCACAACAGTAGAACTTGTTGGGCCTGGGATAGTCGCACGACTGGCAATTGATCCTTTGGGCTATAGGGTTCCGTGCAACACTTGCACAGGTTGGGTGAAGGGCACCGCGTCATATCCGTAGTGGCTGGGCCAAGGGTATCCACGCAGCTGGCAATTGAAGCTGAGGGCTATAGGGTTTCGCACAACACTTGCATAGGTTGGGCCAAGGGAACCGCGCCACATTTGCAGTGCTTGGGCCAAGGGTACCCGCAGTACTAGGACTTAATGGCTCAATGGTATCATAGAATAGAGGGTTTAGGACCCAAGGGTACCTCCAAGAATTGGACTTGAAAAACCAAGGGTACCCCTTTAATAATAGGACTTGTGGACCAAAAGATGCCCCCCAATAATAGGACTTGAGGACCGAATTGTNACAATATTAAATGCACGTCGTTTAGAAAAAGTTGGTCGATTTAAATATGATATGCTTCAATTAAGTATAGCAGCTGGTGAAGAAAGACTACGATTCTATAATAAAATAGTGCAAAAGGAAAAAACAAAATTAATTAGTGTGACTGATAAGTTAAAGAGTAATAATTCAACTTCTGATATTTTTAAACAATTAATGGTAGCAATTGAAGCACGTGGAAAACATATGATTGAACGAGCTGATTATATTACACAACAAAAATTAAAATCTTTTTTTCGACGAAGCTCTGGCGTCACAACACCATATGATGAACAACGATGGCGTCGGAGCGATTCAAAATTAATTATGCGAAATCATACTGATATGTTTCTTTGTTTATATTTTGCCAATACTATTATACCATTATCCAATGAACAATTAATGATAATAAATAAAGGTTTGAAATTTATTCCACCGTGTCAAAGTCATTTCGTTTCGAATAAACCAATTGCAAAAATTATTGAACGAGAATATAACCGACTTTATGATGAAAATGTTAAAAACCTTACAGATTACAATTTTCCAACTACTGATACACGAGCTAAGGAATATTTTCTTGTAATTAAAACTTTACTTGAACAACTTTACATGAAACCTATACCAAACAAAATTGCAAGAAATGCTCGATATTTAAGTCGTATGATAAAATCAATGCAACGAAAATTACGTAAAGCAAATATCACTGTTGGACAAAAGGATAAAAGTAAATTATTTTTCTTTATTGATGCACAAGAATATGAAGAAAAAATTATGAATTATATGAAGAAAACCAATGCATATCAAGAAATCACGAGTGGTATTTGTCCACTAGCTGATAATTTACATTTGGTCATATTATTACTTGATCATTTACTCGAACGGAAGGAAATTAACAATGAACAATATAAACAAATGTATCCTAACTTAAAAACATTAGAATTGGCTCATATTTATTTTAATCTTAAAGTACATAAGGTAAAATGATTCCTCTTTTTTTCTGATAATTATTCGATTTTGCCTTTTTTTCTAGCCTGATATATCAGTTCGACCTATTGTTGCTTCAATCAATGCACCAGCAAGACTTATATCAAGTTTTTTAGATCAACTTCTCACTCCAATATATAATTATTTGACTAAAAATATTACATTTATTAATGGCATAGATGTTGTTCGAAAATTAAAAGAATATCAACAACAAGGTTATCTTACGTCAACAACACTATTTGTTATATTTGATGTGGCTGATTTATATACAATGATCCCACGTGCTTCAATTGCTACCATTAATTGTTTAAAAATATCAGAAGTTGAATTATTACTCTTTAACTTATCAGTCACACTAATTAATTTTGTTTTTTCCTTTTGCACTATTTTATTATAGAATCGTAGTCTTTCTTCACCAGCTGCTATACTTAATTGAAGCATATCATATTTAAATCGACCAACTTTTTCTAAACGACGTGCATTTAATATTGTTTGTTGTTTGTTATCATTATCATTCATAGAACATTGTTTGGATCGAGTAAGTATTTTATCAATTCTATCAAGTGAATAATCAAGAAGATTGAATGCTGGTGGTAAACAATTCGAATGAATACGATGCTTTAATATTTGAATTTGTTCTTCCATTTGTTTTTTATTTCCAGTTGCTTTCCATATGTTACGAATACAACGAATTTGTTGTTGACTTGGTTTAAAATCATAAACTGCTTGTACTAAATGATGATCTGTTGAGTCAAGCATTAACATTTTTTTATTATATTCAAATTGTTGTTTTAATTTATGTTGATCTTTACGCACAACAGCTGTAACAATTGCGTTCAGTTTTGTAAAATCCAATGATGGATTCATTTCTGATATACATTGAGGTAATGGTTGTTGACCAAAATTTTGCAATGCTTGTGATGCTTGTTGAAGTTGTCGTTGGATAGTTTTGAGACGTTGTAAAATTAATGTTTTTGATCGGCCATAAGTATAATACATACTATTCATGGCAGCCCATTTCTTTGATACACGTCCTGACCAAATGTTTTGTTCCATGCCAATATCATAATAATATTTCCATTGACTTTCTTGCAATTGTACATAAAATCAACGATGTATTAAGTAAGTATATTGACGAATATAATTAATTTTTTCACTTGTATTTAGTCGTTTAACAATTTTATCAGCACCTTCTAATGAACCAATTAACATTTGTCTAAATATACGATTTGATACTTTTAAATAATCAGGTATAGAAGAATTGTCATTACTATGATCAATCTGTTTTTTTGATTTCGAATTTTCCTTTCTTGATGTTCCATTGGTAGTGACTTGTTCAATTTGATTAACTTGATTATTTATTGTCTTTTGTTTCTTCGGTGATGGTTGTGAAATAGATAATTGACTTAAAGATTTATCAATTGTACTCGATGATTGTTTTGAGGATTTTTCATTTCTTTTACGTTTTATTGATTCATTTACTGCACTATCATGATGTTTATTTTTATTTTGTGTCGATTGAGAAACCTATTTCAAGAGATAAATATTTTTATATTATAGTTTATAAGAAAAGTAGACATTACTTGATCGAGTGGTACATGTACTTGCATTTCATTTGATATAGAATCTTGTATGATTTGATCAAGTTGTTGTTGATGATTAAGTTTCTGATTATTTAATTCTGTTATTATATTTGGATCAAAACCTTTTCGACGAAGTCGTCGACGTCGACGTTGTGCTTTGCGATCACCACGGCATTTTTTCTTAAGTTTCTTTTCTTCAGCCGATTGTGGCTGTTCTGCTTCCTGCTGTTGTTGTTGCCCAGTCAGCACTTATGTTGGTGAAAGTAAATCATACCAACGTCCTTGAGCATCTTGACTTGGAGTTTTGATAATGGTTTTTGTATTCATATTCATGTTTAATATTTCTATCTAGAATAGAAGAAAAAAAAACGTTTCAGTCAATAACTGATTTCAAAAAAAATAGAAAAAATAAAGTTGATCATAGAATAGCCAGGAACATATAGATCAATGAGAAAAAAAAAGGAAAAAAAACAGAGATGACAATGAATTAATCTTTCATGTTTTTTTTTCTTCTTACTCTTACATCTTGACAAAAAGATATTAATTTTACTTAGGGTTTGTGTCGTAGCATTCAGTATCACAGTCACTTAATTGGAAACGTGTGAATGATTCGACAAGTTTCGGATGTCCTACGAATGTATGTTGTTGATATTGTTTGGAATTTTCTATTTGTTTCATGGATACGTCTTGTTGTTGGAATGATTTTCCAACATTCATCTCTTCGACAGGTGTATTTTGTGGTACATGTTCAACATAATTTTGTTCGTATTCATCGGCGGCTAGAAAGAATTTTAAGCATTCTTCTTCCCAAACTTTCTTTTTTCGCTTTAGTTCTTCTTCTTGTTGTCCCAATTTTTCAAGTTCTTTCCATAGTTCTTCTTCGAATTCGCGATAGAGTTCGTTTTTTTGTTCTCGTCCGTTTAACCGTTGATATCTTTTATAATCTACTTGGCGCTCATGTTGATCTTCTGTTCTTCTAGTAGTATCATCATTGTAATTTTGAAGCAGTGGCTCTTGTTGATGTTGTTGTATCTGTTCAGAAAAAAAAAGTTAACGTTGTATAATTAGAAAGTTTTCTATTGATTTACTTGATTATTTGTAGCTGATTTTTGATTGTTTGTTGTAGCGTTGTTATTGTCGACGTCCATAATATTTTTTTGCTTTTAATCTAGAATGATATAGAACTATCTAAATTATATTCTAATATGAGAACTATATATCTACTACAAATTTATTATGTGAAAACAAAAAAAAAGTGTTGAAAATAAATCACAATACAAAATTAGCATTGGCTTTTTACTTTGGTTTCCATCAGCAAACATAAACATGTGTTAATTGTAACCTAAAAAAAACACAAAAGACTCTTCCAAAATACAAAACTACATGGTGATTTCTACTTACATGTTTTTGCTTTTATCTGTTTGGCAAGGTTAACATAGAAAGAGGTGGTCGTCTATCAACTAAATAATCATTAATAGTCAATGGTGTTTGTGGACGTGGCACAAATTCAAATTTAATATTATTGAAAGCTTCCTTGTTAGTCGAATTTTCTTTCAGTATAACAAGAAGATCGTCTTTGATTTTGATTGCCATTTGTTCAGTCCAATCGTCTGGATATAGAATACGTATGATGTTTTGTTTTTGTGCTTGTTGTTCTTTTTTCAATATGATTTCTTTTTCATATATGTCGATAATACATTGTCGAAGTGTTTCATATGGAATAGTATTGAATAGATGATAGATATCGATTGTAATATCTAATTCTTTGTAAAATTCTTTAATACATTGATCAATAAAATCAGGTGAAAAACCACGAATTAAATGACATAAATCAATATGACGATGTTCCTTATGAAAATCCTCTTGATTTGAACAACATCGTACTGCATGTTTAAGTGCAGCTTTTAGTAAATTTGATGGTCGATTTGTATGATATTCGTATTTACTTGGTAATTCGTATTCATCGGTCTGTGGATCATGATAGATTTTTGTAATAAAATGACCTTTATCATTTGTTAATTCGAGATCAAGTAAATGTACTGTAGTTCCAATCATAGTTTGGAGTAGTGGAATACTTGGATGTTGTTGCTGATTGTTCATGACTCCATTTATGAATGTATAAAATTCATCTTTCGAATCATTCCATGTAAGAAAGATGTCATCTCGGTATCTATAATAATTATAAGACGATTGATTAATTCAAAAATAGATATATGATATTTACCTGCCAAATAATCCATTTTTATTATTTATTAAAGTATGTATTAATATGGATGATTGCCCATAGAATAGATAGATACAAGCTAATGGAATCGTTAATAATGATCCAGAAGCACCACCATGAATTTGTTGATAGAGTTTATTTTCATAGATGAAATATTGGTTTTGTAAAACAAGACGAACAAGTTCAAAAATTGTTTTATTTGTTAAGCCTTCAGTAATCTTTTGTAATTCAGATGAATGCATATTAAGAAAATTTTCTAAGGCTTTGATTGCTTTTTCATGAGAAAATTTAGTACAAATATCGTTAATATTGAATGCAACAAAATGAGTAGTTTCATGAAGATAACCATGTTTAACATATTGTTCCAATGTATAAACTATATCATCACTATTTGCAAATGTTTTACAACTGGCAATTTGATTAAATATCGACCAAAGGATATCACTAAGATAATGTGCAAGATTAAAAGTGGGTCCATTTTTACAAATGATGATCGGTTGAAGCGAATCTGTTTCCTATATTGAAAATTTTACTTAAACTCAATTAGAATAAAAAAAAAAAAACAACAAGTCCTACCTTGGTGGTATCTGGTACAAAATGTAAATAATTTAATCGTATAATTGAACTGTTAGGATGCATAAGTACATATTGTTGATCACTAATATTTTTGGAATTAAGTAACATGTTTAATGTTGTATTCACTTCCTGTATAATATTCTTCAAACACTGTTGACTAACTTTTGGATTAGTTGATTTGACATCGTTGATAAACTTGTAAATGCCTAATTGCTTGATATAATTAGAAGATTTTTGTTGATATTCCTTTGCTGGATATGTATGAAATGAATAACCTTTGTATGATGCACGCATAATAAGTTTTTCTTCAGTCAATTGATGTCTCAATGATAAAATATTTCGTTTATGCTGTTGAGCAAATTGACGAGCAGCAAAAGTCATACCAGGTTTCGAATCCATGTTTTGAATTATTTGTGCCATATCATTCCAATCGTGTTCGTCGAGGATGCTAGGTACTTTATGATGATGAGACAATTCATTATCATCTAAAGGATCAATAAAATTATCTTGTATTTGTAAGTCATTGTTAAATTCAAGAATTTGTTCGACCATCGATAATATTTAGACGAAGTTTGCACTGATATATTATAGAGTATCTAAAATAAAAAGAAAAAAGTTTGTTGTCACGAATAATAGTTAAAGCGATCGATATTTGTATATTTATATTTGTAAAAAAGGTAACTGTCCCGGATGTCCTTTAGAAAATATCCTTGACGAAATGTCCCCCAATTTAAGTTTTTTAGAAAATGTCCTTCAAGAAAAATATCCTTTAAGAATATGTCCTTTAGAAATTGTCCTTTTCTCATTTGGTCCTCGGTCACAATGTCCNGCATATTCAATCATCTCTTGAACGATTCTGTTAACTTTGAGATTCACCACAAAAGATCGATGATTATCATTTGTCATATCAAGATTTCGACTCCATCTACTTTTTGTTCGACTTTTATCGAGATATTCATGAAATGCATAAGCGATAGCCATTTGAAGTGACCATTTATGATTGAAGTTTGTAGTTGATTTACGTGAATATGTACATAATCTATTAACAGCATCCAATGACACCAAAATACATTGACGTTGAGGTTTTCTGTCGTGCCAATTTTTAAAGATTTTTTGAATATTCATATTATTTATTTCTCGGAGTGTTTCAGATGACAGAAGTCGAGAAGGAATAAATTTACTTAATTCATCCTTTGCATCACCCCACGAATATATCACGTTCAATGAATTAAAGATCACTTTTAACAGTGATCTTATCAACCAAAATACCACGGATGATGAATGTGGTAGATGATTTATTTGAATTAATAATATTATTGATTTATCTTGTATAAATTCGATTTGAATTAATGCTGGTTGATGTGTGTAATAATCATCTTCTGTGTCAATAGTAAATCTAGTTGTTTTTCTTGCTTGTTCAATTAAATCATGTAATAGAATTGGAGATGTTGACTGATTGATATGATGGATATGATAATCATTTAGTGGATTAAATACTTGTAAAACACTTAAAGCACTATTCAATTCGTACTTTCGAGTATTTCGATTCATTTGTTGACTAGAAGGCATGATTCTTTTATTTTCTAAATAAACAGAGATAGAGATTAATAAATATTTTTCATAGATAGTTTACTTTTTTTTAACAAAAAAGAAATTCAATTTTATATTGTGATAGACGATTGAAGTTTGCTAATAAATAGCCCGAATAGATTTTATCTACATAATGCAAACAAAAATGAACCATGAGAAGTTGCTTTTATGATATATATGTATATGAAACAACAAAAAAAAACAGAAACGACACTAGTTCAATGAATAATATCATTTATTAATACAAAACAAAATATATAAATCAAAAGGGTGTTACATAGTAGGTTTCACAAAATAATTCTTCTATAATATATAACGAACAAAACTATTATGCCACAATAACAATGATTGTGTATAGAACAGCATATATGGAACATAATATCAAAAAAAACATAGTTTTGGTACTATTCAATAAAGTATCACTTAGTGACTAATAGTATTAACATCATTGTTGAATTGTATAAGATCGTTTTTGTACAGCTAATAAATTGTTTAATGAATGAAAATGTTTACTTGTTAGAATCATCTTAGATCCTTCTTCTGACAAAATCGGATGTTTTTTAAAATATTCAGACCAAAGACGACGAAAGTCTCGATTGAATCGACATTTTGGACCAAAGTCATAAATATAACTGAACTGCACTAAACGATCATTATCGTCAAATTTTTGTAATTGTTCTGAAAGTTCCTGTTGTTGTGCAGTGAAATTGAACCATTGACGACGAAACTTATCATATGTGCTTTGATGTCGTGAATATCTCATAGTTTGAGCATGAAAATAATTGAAAAAATGTTTTACATGCGTTTCAACAAATAGTAATGAATAACCATTAATAAGACAAGTTAATTCAAGATAAATTCGTTCTTGTTGAAATTCATCGACTGTTGAACAATAACAAACAGCTCGAATTAAAGCTGATAGAAGCCAATCACTATAAGCTAATCTTGAATGACCAACTACATATGGTAACGTATAACGCTGAATTGTAGGATCATGATAAACTCGAGTATATAATTGTCCCTGTTGATTTTCAATGTAGGCATTTAAAAATTGTACACTTGTTCCAATTAACATTTGGAAACGGACATTCAAATGATTTTCTCGAATATCTTGTAGAAATTTTTCAAGTGCTAGAGCACTAGATTTATTCCATGTAAAAAAGATTTGATCTTTATATCTACAATATAGAATGAAATAAAATATATAAATTCATAGTTTTTAATGAAATAGGAAAAAATAAGAGAAATTACCTTCCAAAGAATTCTATGTTCCGGTCTATTTCTTTCAATATTTTCTTTTGCCATATAAATAAGTAAATATTTGCTAATGTTTCTGTTAATGCCATCGTATTTGGACTACCTTTCGTAAATGTATATATTTTATTCTTATAATAAAAGACATTATTATGAAGAAATAAATGTAATAAATTTCGAATAGTTAGAATTGTTATCGGTCCAAGTTTGTTGCCTGCTAAATGATCTGTTAAGAAGTAGCCAACAACATCGATCATATTTTTATGAATATCCATTGTATAATAATTTGATATTTTAATTGTACAAAAGAGAGTTGATGGACGAAGACGATGCTCTATATTGGCATAATGATTGAATTTTCGAATAAAATCAGCTTCATCATAAAATGTCGTTGAATGTAATTTCTCATCGGCAAAAGGTCGTAATAATTGATTTAAATATTTGCCAATCTTCCATGTTGCACTCTGTTTTGATGTAATAATTGGTACTAATGTAATATCATTTTCCTGAATAAATCAAAATGAAAAACGAGTGAATAACTGAAATGTTTTTTATTTTTGATACATTTGGTAAGAACTATAAATTTGGTAATTTAACTTTAGTTGGATCAACCACTAATCGATTGTATAAATCCTCTTTGATGGCTTTATGTGTTTACAATTGTTCCAATAGAGAATTCATTGATTCAATCATATCTTTTAATGCAGTATGCAATGGTTGTTCATTACTTTCTTCATCCATATCGATAAGAACTTTGTATTCATCTGATCTTGTTAAATATTTATCAGCTTTAGCTTCAAAATCTTGAATGTTGCCCACATAGAATGTATTCATATTATCAGCAGTTCTTCGTAGAATAAGATTGTTTTTGTTTAAAGAATATCCAATCGATTGAATTAATTTCTTCTCATAGAGAGCACGTTGATAAAGATTTGATGGTATTGGTTTCAAAAATAAATCTTTAAATTTATTGTAAGTTTTCTCTTCAATTTCAATTTTCAATGATAAATTAATCTTATATTTTGAAAATAGACTCATTAATTGATGTTTTAATGGTGCATATTGTTTCTTTACGATGTCATCGATGGATTCATTTGAAGACGAGATATACATTTGACATGGTGGCACATAAGTTGGTCCACGACCTAATAATTGTAGTTGTTCATTTGTGAATCGATATGTAGTGTCAATAATTAGAGAAGCTGAAAAACAAACTATTTTCATAGTTTGTTCTTTTTCATTGGTATTCACATGTCGCAATTCATCATAAGAATTTCGAAGAAAATAATCGATTCTATAATTGTAAACATCTTTCCATCGATTGGTAATATTATTTAGACGTTGTTCAATTAATTTGATTAATGATGTAGTCATTCCTTGATTTTTAACAAGATTACGATGATTTTGCCACATTTTAGACAATTCATAATCGAATATGTTTTGAAATTGATAGTAGGTTGTTTCAGCTTGTGATATATGTATAGCTAGTAGATCAAGTTTCTTATATTGAATTAGTTTTTTATATTTATTAAGTAATTGCTGTGGAACATTATCTTTGATTGTTGTATTATTATGCCAAGTTGGCATTGATACTAGAATAGAATCGAAAGAAATAGATGATTTATTATAGAAGACCTCTTGTTTTAATTCTAATAACGCTCGTTTGAATTTTTCTACTTTACGTTTTGTATCAATTAGACGTTTAGCAACTTCAATCTGTAAGGCAATAATAAAATGAAACATACGAAATTTTTACCAGTTTTGAAGAATATATATTCTTTTCTTACTTGATATTGACTTGGTGCATCTTGTGAATATTTACGTTCGAGTATTTCGGATTCATAATTATATGTCACTATTGCAATGTTTAAATCACGTTTCATTTCAAGTAGTCTAACTCCATAGTCTTGAACATAAATTTGTATGGCTTCTTCCATTGTGGATGTAAATCCAATTAAAGAATTCTTCTTTTCATTTAATTGTTGTTGATAATGTTCAATCTTTTGATTCATATCTTGTAAGCGTTGCTGGAGAATTTGTTTGCAAATGAGTTGTTCATCTTCTGTATGTGTTTCCATGGTTGTTGTAGCAATAGGAATCGGTACCATCGTCAATTTACCTCGTGTTAACAAGAATGGTTTCACTTGCATAGGCCAAACTCGTCGATCAACTTCAATTAAATCATTTTCTGATTCTTGTAATGTACCAGTGACTGTTTTTAAACATATTTCCGTGACTTGTTTCTCTACATGAAAAGCAGCAATATGATGCATTGATACAGCCGTTTGTTGTATGTCATTCATATTAATGGAATGAATTGTTTTTATTATATTTTGTGCCATATGAACAAATGATTTATTGTTCATTAATAAATAGGTTGGTATTTGATCTTGTTTTGCATCGTTATTATCAATATCATCATCAGTATCAGTCATTTTCATTTTCTTGGAACTTGCATTTGAACTAGCTATGGTACTTAATGGTCGTTTTCTATCAATAGTCGAAGCTGAATTAGTTTCATTTTCATTTTTTATTGATAATTGACTTAATTTTTGTGATAAAATGGTTTCTTCTTCTTCTTCTTGAATAATCTAAATGATGCAAAAAGAACAGTAAACATTTTTGTTGTTTCTTATTCATCATCGAAATCGTATTACTTCAATATGATCAGACTCATTGAGAATATCATCTTCGATGATTTCTTCTTCGTTTATCGTTGACTTTAAATGACCTGATTGGAAGTAACGATTTAATTCATCTGTTGTATATTGAAGTCCATCATTCGTGTCATCAATAATATCAAAAATATCCTTGTATGGTTTTACATTTTTCCATGTTTCGTTAACTATTGACTTTGAATCTTTACTTTGAGTAGCCATTGATAGATCTAAAAGAAACCTATTTCTTATATCTGAAATAAAGTATGCTTTCAAAAAGAAATCTATATTTATTCATTCTTCTTTTAACAATATGATTCAAAATCACAACAGAAAATTTCTATTTAGTTTTTTATTTTTTGACATCAATACGCTGTTCAAGGCTCAGTAAGATCAAGAAAATATTTCAGTGGCAATGGTCGTGTTGTATTGTTTTACTAATGTTGGTACAAGCCGATTGGTTACAGGTTGCAATTGTTGCTGTTAGCCTTGTTGTTGTTGTCCTTGTTGTTCACTCTACAATAAATAATAACATAAAATATGTTTCTATTGATTTAGATACAAGCGTTACTTGTATGGGCATGTTCTCTGCTCTTTTGTTCAAAATTCGAGACCATTTGGGATTATTAAACATAATAAATAAAAATTGCTGATGATTATTATCAGCTACAGTTGTTGTTGTTGTTGTAGGTTTTTGTTGTTCAGTAAAACTAGATGATTCAATAGGTTCAGTTTTACATATATTATTATGAACATGTATTGGATCTTCAGTGAATAAATTCATAATAATTGCATTCAAATCGTTTGAATCATATTCCATCGATGAGCGATTAT